AAGGTGCCTCCGGGGCGGGTTGCGTGCGGGTCCCTGTCCCCGGCCAGAAGGACCGCGTGAAGGGGGTGGGGTTGTGTCGGCGGAGGTGCTGGGGGGAATCTCGCTCCAGAAGCCGGGGTGTTGGGCTAAGAATGGAGCGGGGGGTCTGGAGACCGTATGGCCCAGGTGTGTTTGTGTGTGTGTGTGTGTGTGTGTTGTAGTTTGATAACACTGCAAATGTGGATGGAGAAGATGTGTGAAATGATTTTAATCTTTTTAAATTTTCTAAGGCTTTTTTTATGGTCTAACATGTGGTCTGTCCTGGAAAATGTTCCATGTGTTTGGAATGTGGCCCTTCAGTTGATTCTCGCTCATTCTATAGAAAGTTGAAGCCTTAGTACAGTTTTTATTTGTAAACGGTGAAGGGCTATGCTGTTGTCATGGCCGTGGATCTGATCGGGGATGAGAGAAATACTATTAGTTTTATTTTGAAGAGCATTTTATTTCGTTTAACTGGCCCGCCTATTGCTCTTGAGAGAAATTATATATATATATAAAATCACCAAACACCTGCTGCTGCTGATGCATTTGAATTAAGGCCTTGAAGAGTAACTTGGAAACGCCGAGTTGCCGGGGTAGAGGTCGGGGAGGGGTGGGGAGATGGATCTAATGCTCTTCTAATCTGCTTGGGCTCCAAGGCAAGGGTCCCAAAACGGCCCAGTGGATTCTCCCGCGATTTCCCGCCCCCCCTTCAAGACTTTCATGAGCCTCTGGAAATTGCAGGACTTGCCCATGTCAGTTTTCTTCATCAGAGTATCCAGACGTTTCTCCACTTTCTCAAAGAACCCTGAACCTTAACACAGGTTAAGAGTCAAATAGAATATACAGCTTCCTCCAAGCACCAGCACACCTTATGTCTATTTTGTATAGTAGGGAGTTGGGGTGTATAAACAGAAAGAAAAAAAAAACCCAGAGAAAAAACAAGATCTGTGTTTTAAGGAACTTTAAGCTCTATTAGGGGTATACAGGCAAGCCAAATGCAGCGAAGTGTTAAAATTTGGCAGAAGTCTATTAATTTATAATGAGTGGGAATTCCTTCGTAGGACCTTTGAGAACAACTTACCAGGAGGAGGATGAGATGGTAGCGTTACAGGCAGAAAGAGTGGCATAAACAAATGGATGGTAGATGGGAAATGGGGTGCTTTGACCAGAGAATTGTACGTGTTAAGTGACTGGAGTGAGGTTTATGTCGGGAAGGACGATGGGTACAGTTGGAGAGGAGGGCAGTGGGTCAAAGACAGGCTGGGGACAGACAACCCAGAGAGGATGGCCATTTTGCTCTACTTTCCTGCCTTTGCCAGTTTTTGTTTGTTTTGTGTGTTTTTTCTACTTTTGGCTTAACCAGGAATAGCACAATATCCTCTTAACTCTGAAACTTGGCACACTCTTGAGAGAGTAATACACATCCCTGATCTTTGGGGCGTAAAGAACATTGACATGGGAAATTGCTTAAACTGCAAGTTTGGTTATGATTTGTCAGTATTAGACGCTGGTTTCAAGGAGGTGACACAGTAAACAGGAGACCAGTTCAGAGAGGATGGACATACAAGGTGGTCAGAAAATGTGGAAACATAGGCAACTGTTTGATGTGTTTTACAACTTTCTGAAACCAGTTAATGCCTCAACTTGACAGGCTAGGCAGGGCAAATACCCACATGTCTCCAATAGGAGCCATTCCACCAGAGAGACTAGGAACTGATTGGGTGGTAGTTCCTTTAAATGAATTGGACAGTGTTGCCATGTCAGTTTATAGAGCAGGTTGCGCTCTGAACAGCTCCCCACCCACCCTACCTCACCCACTCCTCACCCTGCCACACACACATCTTACTTGGGGGATGTGCTAAAGACTCCAGTGTATTCAGGGCAGTCAGGCACCACACATTCAACTGTGCATTACTAATGAGGGGCAAAACATTGCACAGGCAGGAAGTTGTAATAGCAATCAACCATGCATCAGGTGTAGTTGTTTGTCTCCCGACTGGGGCCATCCTGTAGAGCAGTGGTTCTCAACCTTGGCTGCACATTAGCATCACCTGGGAATCTTTTTAAAATCCTGATTTCTGGGCCTCATCCTCCGGAAATTCTGTTTCTTTGTTACTAATGTTGTGGCCCCACCCCATGACAAAGAAACAGAATTTCCGGAGGATGAGGCCCAGAAATGAGGATTTTAAAAAGATCCCCAGGTGATGCTAATGTGCAGCCAAGGTTGAGAACCACTGATGTAGCGGCAAGAGGACTTGCTTCTCTTTGTTTAGCAAATGAGGGAAAGGAAGGAATTGAGAATGGCTCTCAGTAGTGTCCAAGTTATCTCAGCAGCATCCCCCATTTGACAGACTCCACCCTTTTCCCCAAAGACAGGATTTTTTTAAAGCTATTTCATATCAATTTTGAAAATTTTGCTTAGAGAAAGTAGTTTTCTAAATCACGTAATTTCTAAGTTATATCTTTGAGAGGCCATTAAGAAAAAAATCTTGCCCTGACTGGTGGGCACAGTGGTTAGTGTTAGCCCTCGCACCAAAGGGTTGCAGGTTCAATTTCCAGTCAATTTTCAGTCAAAGGCACCTACCTGGATTGCAGGTTCGATTCCCGTCCTGATCGGAGCACATGCTGGAGGCAGCCAATCCTTGTGTCTCACATCGATGTTTCTTTCGCTTTCTCTCTTGAGTTAGTTGAAGGTGGTAAATGTTCCTTCCCACTAGTTCTGTAGAAGCCTTAAATGTGCAATCTAAGCAGCCCTTAAACTTGGTTTAATTGTCGTCTATTTAAACTTAAGGCTGCCACCCAGACCTGTAACCTACTTAGGATGGTATCCGGAAAACATTTACAAATAAAAGAAATATACATGCAGTGCTCTAATACCGTACAGTAAAATGCATTTCAGTGTGGAAATGCTTAAGCATGATTACTTGGAAGAATGAAGTAGTTAGATGCCTCCCACACCTACACCTAGAATCATTGTGTGTCAGTTACAAAAGTACATTGATGCAGGGGTTTTGAGTTGACACCTCACACACACAGTGTCTCCAGTTGTCTAATGCTTTTCTGAAACAATGGGAAATTCTCAGTAAAGTTCCACACAAAACAGTCTAGCCTTAAATCTCTCCAGCTACATTCCTGGAATTTATAATGCATATTAAAACCATGCAAAAATTACTTTAATATTAATGTGTTTTTTTTAAATTAGATTCTATGCCCAGCTATTTATAAATCAATCTATCCCCTCATTCAAAAGTGATGCAGAGCTAGGGACATTTCTTCATTGTACAGAACTGTCTTGCACAGGGTAGAATGTCTCATATCTCTGGCCTTAGCCAGTGATTGTCACAACCATGGTCAGTACCACAAATCCCCGAATGCCTCCTAAGGGACAGCAGTATTCCTCCCACACTTGAGACTCACCTTCTAATAATTGATTAGGGGAAACAAAGTCCTAATTTTGTTTTTCTGTCTAATATGGCAGCCACTCCCCTTCAGCACCTTGCTCTCTAACTCTGTGTTTTCTGTGCCCCTAATGCTGTCTCAGTGGTGGTGGTCCTGCTCAGGAAAGCCACAATCAGAAATTAACAACTCAAAATTGTGCTTTCTGGAGTGGTCTCTATGAGGCCCCCCCCCCCCCCCCACCCCCCCCCCAATTTAGTAGTTATTAAAGTTCCTTTCCAGTGGCTCCTGGCTGTTTTTGTTTAAACACCTGCTATTAGGAGAAATTCTTTCTCTTATTCTATATAAACTAGTGGCCCGGTGCACTAAATTCGTGCTCGGATAGGAGGGTCCCTAGGCCTGGCTGGCGATCAGGGCAGATTGGGGCTTTCCAGCTGCTGGCCACCAGTTAGGGCTTTCCTTTGTTCCGTGCTGCCCCCCTGGTGGTCAGCGTGTGTCGTAGCGAGCAGTCGAACTCCTGGTCAAACTCCCGAGGGGATGCTGCGTATCAGCCTTTTATGTATATAGACTACTCTAGAATATTGAGTTCAACAAAAATGTTCTCGTCTCTGAAAGGGGTCTTAGTGGAATCCAAACATATATACAGATAGATTCAATACATGAGATTAAGAACCATGATCATACTGTGCATGGATTCCTATAGGAGTGAAGGAGTGATAGATTTCGGCCTGGAAAGTTTTCTAGAACAAGTTCTGGGTGTGGTAGTGGAAGCCACTAGGTCTGCCTCTCTAGTAATAATTCCTTAAGAACCTGGAAATGACTTTTTGCAGTAGTAGCTGCCCCCTAATCCTGACTGTCAAGCGTATAGACTAAAATGTCAGTCATTCTCAGCAATAATATAGTTGTATTTCTTAGCATTACTAAGCAACAGTTGCAGTTTGGAATTTTTCTCTAAAAGTCATTGGCTTTAATGTTCAGGGGTTCAGCTTTAACCTTAATACTTCTCTTGCTATGTGCATCTAGTACAGAAATTTGGTAATGCTGAATAATGCCAAAATTTCTTTGATTCAGTCATACTTAGAAAAATATATTTTTTCTTGCCAAGTCCTATTTTTTCCTTTCATTACTATTTTAAAAAAATATGTTTGTATTGATTTTTTTTTTAAGAAAGAGAAAGGGAGAATGTAGAGAGATAGAAGCGTCAATGACAGAGAAACACCACTGATCAGCTGCCTCCTGCATGCCCCCTCGTGGGGATCGAGCCTTCAACCTGAGCATGTGCCCTGACTGGGAATCGAACCAGTGACCTTTTGGTTCATGGGCAGATGCTCAACCACTGAACCACACCGGCCAGGTTTTCCTCTCATTCTAGCATGACTAGAATCCAAATGAGTAGCAAATAGAGAAGAAGGGTCAACTTTTTGCTCATGCATAATTGGACATTACTGGGTACCTATCTTAAAGTTAGGTTAAATCAGTTTTAACTTAGCCAATATATTGGGAACATTGTGAAATCGGACTACTAAAATTATTACAGGCTAACCAATATGCTATATGGTATTTTTGGTTTGGTTGGTTATATTTAGGAGATATACTTTTTGGACTCAGAATTTCTAAACAGTATGACAATGCTAGGTAAAAAAGGGTAAAAAAATACAATTTTTTCTTTATTTTTTTTTTAACAGCCTTCTAGGTGTCCCCATTGCATATGATAACATTAAAGTAGTGGGTGAACTGGGAGATATTTATGATGATCAAGGACACATTCATCTTAATATTGAAGCCGATTTCATTATCTTCTGTCCTGAACCAGGGCAGAAGCTTATGGTACGTATGTCTCTTTTTTTGTAGCTTTCTTTATATAATTATGTAATTTGAAAACTTAAGAAACTATACTTTTGGACTGTTATTGTAGGTAACTAAAAATTATTTTAAAAGATAAAAGGAAATTAATTTCCATTATTTCAACCTAGGTACGTTTTGAAACGTCACCATCCTAAAACTCACATGCATGTAGAGTATGTGTCCCTCCAATTTATTCTTTTCATATAGCACCAAAGTGAACTTAAGGGAATAAAAAAAAAAATCAGCCCTAGCTGGTTTGGTTCAGTGGATAGAGTGTTGGCCTGCAGACCAGAGGGCCCCAGGCTCTATTTTGGTCAAGGGCACATACCTTGGTTGCAGGCTCCATCCTGGTCGGGGCTTGTGCAGGAGGGAACCAATCAGTGTATTTCTCTCACATCGATGTTTCTCTCTGTCTTTCCCTCTCTCTTCTACTCTCCTTAAAAATCAAGGGAAAAATATCCTCGAGTGAGGAGTGACAAAACAAACAAAAAACCCACAAAAGAACACATTCTTTAAAAAAAAATCCATTTTTATTATTTTTAAATTTCCCAATTATAAGTATGATTTCTTTATAAAAGATTCAAACCATATAGTAGTATATAAAACAGGAGTTGCAAATTCAAATGGTTGTGGGGCCAGGCAGGTAATAAAAATAAGTCCAGGATGGGGGGTGGTGAGACTACTCGTACTATGCCTTGAGAAGCTGGAAATGCAAAAATTGGCATGAAATCTGAATTATATCCATTTATCCTCTTCATATGCAGTTCTGTGTGTGTATATGTTCATATATATATGTGTGTATGTGTGTATATATATGTTTATATATATATGTATATATATTTATATGTTTGTATATAATTTTTTCTTACCTGAAGTTTTTTAGAGGAATTGTTTAATCTAATGACAATAACTTAGCGTTGATACTGTTAATAAAAATATAGCTTGGATTTTACTATGACAAGATTTACATGGCATTTCTAATTAAAATTTTTTTTTCAATATCCATTAAACTGGAAGAAATAGTATACTTGGACTGCCAAACTGGAATCCTACAACCAGCCTTCAACTATTAAAGTTGGCAGTAGATTTGTAGTTAAAAATTCCCCCAATTCAACTGTCATCTGTTTTGTCTAAATTATCACAAATGCAAACATGTCCGTGGAAATAACATTCTAATTGTAAAGAAAATATGAAATGAAAAATAAAATTATGCCTATTACTCTATCTTCTACAACAATATCCAGTCCTTAAATACTCTTGACCAATCAACTTTTTCCAATTTTTCTTTATGTTTAATAATATGAGATAATTTACATGCAATAAAATGTATAGATCATGGTGTGCAACTAAATTAATTTTGACAAAGGCATATACCATTGTGTGTCCTTAGAAATGACCTGAATGCCCTTTCCTGGTCAGTCCTGTCTCTCATCCTAGATACAACTACTGTTGTGATTTTATTGACCATAAATTAGTTTTGCCTGTTCTAGAATTCCATAGTAGTGGGATTTTTCGTTATAAAATCTAAAATAGCCTCTTCTGCTCACCATGAGTTTCATCCATACTGTTGCGTGTATTGTTTCTTTTTTAACACTCGTGGTATTCAGTTATATGAATACTAGAAGCCTGATGCATGAAATTCGTGCAAGAGTAGGCCTTCCTTCCTCCAGCTGCCAGCACTGGCTTCCCTCTGGCACCCGGGCCCAGGCTTCCCTTGAAGCCCTGGCTTCGTCCAAAGGACGTCCGGTCTAATTAGCATACTATGCTCTTATTATTATAGATACTACAATTTGATTATCCATCTTCATTGAGGGACATGTGGGTAGTTTTCAGTCCAGAGCTATTAGAATAAAGCTATTGTGATGGTACATTTTCATTTCTTCTAGGTAAAAAACTAGAAGCAGTATTGCTAGGCCGCAGGGTAGATGTGTGTTTAACTTTATGAAAAACCTGCTGTTAGGCTAACTTCCCATACAGCACTTCCAGGTGCTATGCATCTTTGCCAACATTTGGTGCTGTCAGTCTTTTACTTATAGTATCTTCTCATAATGGTTTTAGTTAGCATTTCCAGGAGCTTTTCATTTTGGTGAGGTCCGATTCAGCATAGTATACTTTTATGGTTATTGCTTTCTGGATCCTATCTAAGAAACTTGTCTACTCCTAGAAGCTTCTATAATTTTTGTAGTTTTAGCCTTTCCATTTAGGTCTATATTCAAGCTTTAATTTTTGGTGTATAGTGTAAGGTAGGCCTTTGAGATCCATTTCCTTGCCCATTAGCTATTCAATTATTCCAGACCCACATATTGAAAAGATTTTTCTTGCCCTATTGGATATTTTTGAATTGATAGACTTGATTTTTTACAGCAGCTTTAGAGGTACAGAAAAAAGGGAACAAACACACTATTTCTGTTATTGACATTGTGTGTTAGTGTGGTACATTTGTTAGAGTTGTTGAGCCAATAATGCCCCTTACATTAGAGTTCATTCTTATATTCTATGGGTTTTGACAAATGTATAATGACATGCATTCACCCTTAGAGTGTCCTATAGAATAATTGGTCACTGCCCTAAAAATCCTCTGTGCTTCACCTGATCATCCATACTCCCTCCCTTTGGAACCCTGGACTACTGATCTTTTTACTATCTCCATAGTTTCTCCTTTGTCAGGATGTCATATAGTTGGAATCATACAATATGTAGCCTTTTCAGATTGTCTTCTTTCACCTACCATTTATGCAGTTAAGATTTCTCCATATCTTCTCATGGCTTGTTGGCTCATTTCATTTTATTTCTGAATATTACTCCATTTTACAGATGTACCATATTTTCCCAGACCTTGCGGAAGGTACCATTGTGGACACCTGCCTCCTGATAATGACTGAAAAGGAAGTTTTATTCTATCCTATGTATAAGGAGTTGCTGACATTATACATGTTAATATTATTTAAAAATCTATAATTAAAAAATATGAATTTTTAAACTATTTTGAGTTTTTATTCATATACCTTACCTATATTGATTCCTAGAGGAAGAATAGAAAACTACGTTTTTTGGAAATTTTTATTTCAAGCTTAAAATTCTATAGTAACATCCTTTTATCTTAGTTTTTAAGCTTCTAGTGTTTTTGTAATTTAGTCCAAACAACTGTTCAAGATTTACATATAAAGGGTAAGCTGTCTTCTAATAGGACTGCTTACTAGTACATCATGCGCAATTTAGTCATTAAAGAATGCTCTTTAAGCTTTGAAGTTCAGACAGTGGATCCTAGTGATAAAAAGCATGTGCTTCCTGCCTTGTGGTCTTTTTACATGTAGGTCATATCAAAGAGTAATTTCTGCTCGGTTCAGTGTGGTTGTAGGTGCTCCACTCCCCTTGGAATCTTAGATGGGAGCTAAGGTGGGAATCTTAGATGGGAGCTTAGATGGGAGCTAATGTCAGGGGGCAAAGGGGAGGGTAATTGTTTATCCAGTTAGGCAGTTGATATTCAGTTACTTATTTAACTGAAGTTTGAGCTTTCTACAGTGTTCTAAAGCAATGCTTTAATATAACATGTAAATTTTGAGATAAATATTTTCCATACCAAATTATACTATTTTGATGTTTTCACTTTGAAGATCAGTTTGAAGCTTATAAAGTTTGATTTATCTGTTAACTCTTTGGGTCCCTTCTTGATGTTCTTTGTTCTTTTTTCTTCTTAGGGTATAGTTAATAAAATGTCTTCCAGCCACATTGGCTGTTTAGTACATGGGTGTTTCAATGCCTCCATCCCTAAACCTGAGCAGATGCCAACTGAGCAGTGGCAGACCCTGGAGATAAATGTGGGCGATGAACTAGAATTTGAAGTATTTCGTTTAGACTCAGACGCTGCTGGAGTATTCTGCATTCGGGGAAAACTAAATATCACCAGGTCAGTTCCTACTCACATTATTGTCATTTTGATACTTAAATGTTGCTATTTAATTCTGAATTTAGAGACCATATGCCCTCTTTAAAAAAATGTTTATTATAATAATTATGCTTTCAAATCAGAAAGTCATTGTAAATCATTATCTTAAGTGCTAAGACAAAGCATTAAATATTCTAAAGCTCTACATCTAGCTAAATGTCTGTATTTTAATAACTCAATTTTACTGTGTAGTTTCTAGTTGTTAATTTTTTAAAATAGTTGATACCTGAGCTTGAAACTAACAGTTTAATCATAGTGAATAACTATTAGCCTGCTGTCATTTGTACATGATTGAAACAAAAATAATTTGATTGTCATTATACCAGGTAGACCATTTAATTTCTATTGAAATTTTTATAAGATTTACTTTGATCTTGAATCTTGAGCTTGGCTCTATAGGAACTCACTTTGGGAGCAGGGAAACTTTTGGAATACTGCTAATATTAATTTAACAATTTTCTAGATTCTGCTTTGATAAGTAACCAGAGTGCGGATTCAAGTTCTAGAGCAGCTGTCTCATAGAACTTCTGTGATTATGATAGAGATGTGCTGTATTTGTGCAATTCAGTAGCCTCACGATTGAGCACTGGAAATATGACTAGTGTGACTGAGGAGCTAAATTTAAAAGTTATAGCTATTTAAATTTAAGTAATTTCAGTGAGATATGTGGCTAGTGCTCTCTATAGTTCTAGAAAGAAGGTGGCTTCATTGAGCCTTGTTTTTATCTTAGTGATATAAAATAATTCACAACTGTGAAATGTGCTTCACCAGAGGTTAGGAAGAACAATGAAATTATTTGAAGCAAGGATTGAGAAAGTAGACAGGAAACTCCATTATTTTGATAGGTAACAGAAGTATGTTTTCTCTCTATTTTATGTTAATTTGGCTAATCAGCCTGGATATTGTGATGTTTAGTATTTAGGGACCAACTTTTTGTGAACAAAACCAGAATTTAGGAGCCATGTTTTGACAACCTTTTCATGTCGTTCACATGTGTGAAAGCAGTCTGGGAGAAGTTCTTGGGAAACAGTAATTTTAACATTTCAAAGGGCTGAAGGATGATAGGAAAGACCGTTTGAAATTTACACTGTAGGATGCAGCCTACGCTGTCGCTTAGGAAAATCATAGCAGGTTGGGATACTCTTGATCTTTTTGTTCTTCTGTTTTTGCTTGTTGCTCTTCAAACTTTTAAACTGTTCATTTCTAGCTCAGAAACCGAGTGCCCTGCAAATTCCGAAGAAGTAACAGAAACTGGGACTGAAGAAGCTGTTGAAAAACCTCCAAAGAAGAAGAAGAAGAAAAAGAAAGAGCCAGATGAAGTTGAGGGTGGTGCCACGGAGCTAGCAGATCTCTCAGATGTCACTGGGAGGGAAGAGACAGACCTGCAGGTAGATAATAATGTGAATGGGCTCTGGGAGGAAGAGCCAAAGAAGAAGAAGAAGAAGAAAAAGAAGAAAGACCCAGAGCCAGATGAAGTAGAAGGTGGTACCACTGAGCTAGCTACTGTCGCAGAAGTCGCCTTGAGGGAAGAGACACACTTGCAGGTGGATAACACCATGAATGTGAATGGCCTCTGGGAGGAAGAACCAAAGAAGAAGAAAAAGAAAAAGAAGAAAGACCCAGAGCCAGATGAAGTGGAGGGCGGTGTCACTGAGCTAGCAGATGTCCCAGATGTCGCCTTGAGGGAAGAGACGGGCCTGCAGGTCGATAATGTGCACAGTGGCCTCTGGGAGGAGGAGCCAAAGAGGAAGCACCAGGAAGGTCAGAACCAGGACCCTGTTTTTCTGGGCAGTGACTCCAGTGGTTACCAGAGTGACCATAAAAAGAAGAAAAAGAAAAGAAAGCACCGTGAGGAGGCTGACTTGGCCCCACTTTTGGAACACTCTCCTAAAAAGAAAAGGAAAAGAGATTTTCTTTAGTACATTGTAAATACGATTGTTTTAAAAGATTGATTTATACACAGTAGATGAAATGTTTGAATAATATGAAATAATTCTCAAAACAGGAAACTATTAAACTGCCATTTTATTGTATACAGAGTGAAAGGTAAGATCTCTCAGTCTTAACTTTGGCATTTTTCTAGTTTTTACATTCTAAATAAAATTATTTCTACAAACTCAATACCAGCAAAAGGACTTTATAATACAGTGTTATATCATTAAAGAGTCAATTTGAGCTTGGATTTCTGGTTTATTGCTTTTTAAAAAAATTTATATTATTGAAAGTATTACAGATGTCTCCCCCCCCCCCATTAACTCCCTTAACCCTGCACATGTCCCCTCTCCCCACACTCCCC